CAATCAGGACAACTGAGTTGCCAAGCGGACCTTGGCAAGACATTGCATTGGACTTCCTAGGTCCACTACCATCAGGACATTATATTTTGTCAGTGATTGATTACTACAGCRGATTCTATGAAGTTTGTGTAATGAAGACAACAACTGCAGACAAGGTCGTTGAAAGTCTAGATGAAATGTTTTCAAGGCATGGACTCCCCTTGTCCATAGCGAGTGATAATGGTCACCAGTTTGTCTCAAAGATCTTCACCGAGTACTGGGAGAGCAATGGTATAAAACACCGCAGGATAACCCCGCTGCGGCCTCAGGCCAATGGAGAGATAGAAAGACAAAACAGGTCAATGTTGAAGCGGATGTAAATAGCACAAACCGAGGGTAAAGACTGGCTGAAGGAACTGCGTACTTACCTTACAGCGTACAGAGCTACACCACACACGACAACAGGAGTTAGCCCTGCTGAGCTGCTATTCAAAAGGAAGGTGAGAACAAAGCTACCTGATGTGCAAGAAGGAGTGAGAGATGACGAGTTTAAAGACAAAGATTCTGAGATGAAAATGAAAGCAAAGTTGTATGCTGACAAGAGAAGAAATGCTGAGGAGTCGGAACTTGTGCCAGGTGATGCAGTTCTGATGAGACAGAGCAAAGAAAACAAGCTGTCAACAAGGTTTGAGCCTGAACCTTACAAAGTAGTTAGTCGTGACAAGAACAGTGTGGTAGTTGAGTCACCGCAAGGTGTCCAATACCAGAGGAATCTAACACATGTAAAGAAATACCAAACRCCAGCGATTGACTGCGAGGACTCTACTCAACCGTCAGACTATGGTGAACAACCAACTGAGATACAGAACAAAGTGGAGACAGCAGAGCAGCCAACTACAGCGTCAAGACCAACCCGTACCAGGAAGGTRCCCAAGAAATTTGATGATTTTGTTGTAACGTGAACTGTGTTATATGATCATTCTACTCATGAACAATCAACTTTGAAGCAATAATATGTGAACATTTGATTGTAACATTGTTCTAGATTGATGTGGATACAGGGACACTATATAATGATTGTGTTTATTAGAAACTCTTGCTATAATTAACTTTATTGGAACATTGCATAAAAGAAAATGTTTTCCTGTGAGCTGTTTATAATAAGAAATTGTAAAAGTCTGTTCTAGTTATGCATTTTTTGTTAAAACAAAGAAGGGATGTTAGTGTATTGAAATTTGTAGATTTCAGGGTATCTGCACTCATGCAGGTCAGCGGTAGGATAATAAAAGATGGCRGACGAAAGCACAAGTGTGTGTGTATAGTTCTGAGTTTAATCTGTGACAATCGAGCTTTTTAGATACGACAAATATTGCATATTTTGATCTTTTACTTTTCATTCAACAAAAATTGCTCTGATCAAAGCAAAATAAACAGCATTTTAATGTGTTTCTTTTGTCATAGTCGGTACTAAAAACAACTCTCCCAGGACACCTTAAATCATATAAAATGGTGTAAGGGACCCGTCATTTATTAATGGGGGGAAGGGGGAATGGTATGATGCTTTTTATTTCCCTGGACAAATATTTTCTTTTGGCCCTGAGCTTCCAAATGCACAAATTGAAATTACATGACCCATTAAAACATTAATTCACATGACCCACCCAAAAGTCATCATGCTTATTAAATAAGCATGAGGTCAACATTGTGCCTGCTATCGACAAGATTTCAAATTAAAGAATAATAAAGTTTCATCATCATTGTAGTGTTCAGATTCATTGACAATATTGATCTGAAAAAGTACACTCAACAGCCTGTTGTAATATAACTAGACGCTCCTGGAGCGTGAAGTCGGAATAAAGATAGGATATTACATGGATGCGCTTAATCACGATAAGATTGTGATGTTATATTCTGTCTTATCATATGATTATATCATGAATGTAAATTATGGTGTAGAATATATATTTTTTACTTCTAATACATAGTGAAAGCAAGAATGTATTACTTTCACTTTAATCAATGTACTGTTCAAACCGTTTATTCACACGATACGATATTCTTTTTGACTGCTCTCTGCAACGACTTCAAAACAATAGAAACCTAAATTTGACCTAAAAGGTCATGTAATTAATACCCTGCGAACAGAGTGTATTTTACCTAATACAACTGAACTGATAAAATCACACGTGGTAGACTAAATGTCGCTAAGTGATATCAGATATCTAATACTTAATTCAAATTGTTGACCTTTAAGGCAAAGAAAATAAATACTTTAAAAAAATAAAAGATTGCCTTTTTTATTGATAAACAAAGTTTCTTCTTGTTCTGATTTGAAATCTTTGCCCAAACAATGCTACTGTAGTTCGTAAGCATAATACTCCACTACCTAGCCTTTGGCTTGTCCGACTAATAATTATACTAATTAGTTTACGCTGTCATCATAGATAACTGATTTCATACTAATATCTCGGAGTCATCCGCCTAACTAACTAACTAACTAATACCAACACTAGAAAAATCTATGACCCCTTAAAAATCTTCTTAATTTTGTGACACCCCTCAATTTTAGTTGCATAAAAAGGCATGACCCCTACCCCATTAGCAGCAGCCCATCCCATTCCCACTGTAATAAATGGCCGGAGCATGTGCATGCACTTACCGAGGCAGACCATTAACTACTTCATATTTCCCAGTGTAGCTGGTCCTGTCAACATTATACCCATCATCAAGTTGGTTAAATTTTAGTACTCCATTTTCTGGATTAGTGCTAAAAGTCAAGAAGAGACACATTTTATAATTTATGGCAACAAAAAATGTGCTGTTTACATGTTTAAATGAATTGAACAAAAAGCCGGGCAGATACTACAATGAGTTTAAATTAAGATTAATTAAAGCCTGAGTCATGAACAAAAATATATTGAGACACTCTATATTATATGACAGCAAAAGCACAATTAAAGTACACCCTTTTCAAGGTGCGAAGGCCATAAACCATACCCTATTTGGTAGTGTGCTTGTATGGATATAGGAATTGCCCCCCTCCCCCTTCACTGGGAAACATTTATCTAGCAAAAGAAATCTCAAAGCAAAGCTGTCACGCAAAAATATGCTTCAATTCCTTGGAGCTGAAGTCTGTGAATAACTGAAGTCTGTGAATAACATGGCAAAAAGAAGTTGAAAAAGCACCTTCCTATCCAAAAATTGTTTTTTAAACTTGGCCAGATGGGATATAATGTTTATAATATAAAAATACATGTATAAAGATCCTAAAATCTATTCAAAATAAAAAGGACATTTTTCTGAAAAATCAAGTTGTTGCAGAAACATTGCATATGGCAATGTATAGGTAAATGATTGCTTTTAGAAGAAGCCAAAGTTATAATTAGACAAAAAGGAATATCAAATAACCAATTTTGCATTTTGTAGATGATCATCCAACTTAATAAACAGGATGCTATTCCACATTTAAAAACAGTACTATAAGAAACATTTGCATCATTATTTGCCACATGATCAGCCATTCTTGCCATATATTAATTGGTCACCCTCCCTTACACAGCAGACATGTACAAGATGGTCTGAAATTCCACACAGGTTCAATTGTTTTGTTGCACCATGTCAGAATACTCAGTCTGTRATATATAGATCTTGTATTTTTAAAAACACTCATGTACGTTTTACCCTGATTGAATTCCATTTGTAACAATTTTTTTACGCCCAAAAACTTGATATAAAACTTTTGAGATTTGAACAGAATTTTAAATCAATATACCTTATATCAGGGTCTGCATATTCAGGGCCACTCAAAATATGCTGTGAAGTGTAAATTACAGGGTTATATTCTGGAAATGGTTCATTCCAAGAAACTTTGTCATCTGGAACAGGAAACCTCTTCACATTGGTGTTTGCATAGTTAGTTTCCCTTGCTTTACTGTGCATACTCTTCAAATTGTGTCTGCACACTATTATAAAAAGAAATTATCAATGCTCAATTATTTCTTACCCTCCAGACAGATCAGTCAGTCTAAATCCATACTTATAATAACTGTACACAAACAAGAGCATCATGACTTTAGACACGACTTGTCCTAGTCAAATGAAAGTCTCAAATTCTGTGACATAACTCTGGTTTTCAATCAAAAAATAAGAGGTACAATTCATTATTTATGTAAGAACTTCATGCACATAACCTTCAACTGGTTGCAAATTTTCTGCAAGAATACTATTGGTAGAATTCACAAAAAACATCATTGTCAAAATCATTGTTTTTCATAAATAGATGTCATATATTATTATCTTTAGGAAGATAATATGCTTTTATATCTTATGAATTAAGCTCATTAGGATTGACATAAATAGCAGACACAGAATTTGAAATAGGCTTTGCTTTTGATGCCATTTGGGAATGGGCTGGGAATGAATGAGAGAGTTTAAGTATCATGTTTACGTCAAACAGCTAGTAGCAGAGCTGAACCGATGATCTACAAATTTCATGCCTGAACTTGTGCTTTTGATAGTCATTTGAAAGAGCAGCTTCTCACAATTATGGCAACCTCAAAATAACCTGCTCTCGGGTTGAAACTGTCATGGTAAAAAGCAGATAATGTGATCTTTCCTGTCGTTTGCCGTTTGCCGTGAACGTCATGCTTAAGCTCTCTAATGTTTGTGCTCAAACTCATGAAAACCTGAAATTCTTGATGAAGACACATTAAAGCCAATCTATTTCTGAGGGATATAATTATGTTACTTTTTCCCCTCCCGAATAATTAGTAAGTTTGAAAATTTGTTCAAAGTCCTCCAATTAGGACTGAACTGACTTTACAGTCCTTACACAAGTAATTAATTACAGTCCTCTACTCATGCCTTGGAACAAAACTCATCATACCAGTCCTCATTTTTTTTTGTAAAAAAAAAAAAAAGACCAGTCCTCATTAATACGTGGGCTCTCTGTGGAAGACCATGTATTTAAATGCAAGTGGACTTTATGTCATCGTTGTCGTCATCGTGAATATTATGCTTCAAATTGGTAGCGCATGCGTTGCCAAAAACTTATTAACTTAATTCTGTCTTGACTTATTTCAAACAAAGACTGTATCGTGAAAATGAAATACTTATAGCTCAATAGCGGCAGCTGACCCATTGTCGCAGCTATAGGAGGCCCACGTAAGCGATTCATGATCGTCTAGTTGGAATTAAACCATCAATGTATTATTAATTCATTGCCAAGCCACTTCAAAACTCAAAAACGATTTTAGGCTCTATATYATATGGTACTCGCTCCCACTTGTTTACTAAACTCTCAGCGTTTGAAGTCTTTTAAGACTTAAAAATCAACATCAACATTCTCTACTCGGCACGAGTAATTGCTCAAGAGCGTCTAAAGTTTAAGCTTATGTAGGAACCTCGAGAACTTTAAAATTCTTGATAACTTTTAGTAGACAATTGTCGCAGCTCATAAACCTACGTTTACTGAGAGCAGCCTCAGTGTTTCCAATAAAACAGTTGTGATCAACAAATTAACTGCCCACCATATAAACTTAACTTACAAACGAGAAAAACTTCCAACAACAATCTCTAAAACGCTTTAGGAGTACACGAAAGAAGGTCTACTGTCAGATGCATTGACAGTTGCAGAACACAATATTCAATTATAGCACAAATAACTAACCTTTGCTTAGGTTTGTTTCTAGCGAAAGGAAGATTAGATTAATGCAAGCAAATATCCTCCTATTCCTTGAATTCTGCATCAGCAGACCAACTCCATCAATCGTCACATCGCGCAAACTCGGATCTGGGCGAGGATTTTTCAAAACAAACCACAGGGAACCACAGGTAGTCCGGTGTAAGTCTTGACAAGACCGATGACCTCCCGAACATGATGTGACTGACGCATGCGTAGACAATTTTCCCTGGACCCACTTTTAATTTTTTCGAACATTTTCCGCGCAAGTCAAACTATATCGAATACCCCGCCACTCAAGTAGCCGCTGCTCGGGTCAGATACACAGGGATACCGAAATATGTATGCCGTAGTCAGGGTGAATGTACAACCGAGGCAAGCGGCCGCCGATAGCGGGAGAAACTATGGGGGTCTGGGGGCATTCTTCCCCTAGAAAATTTGAAATTCAGTCTCTCGGAAATGCAAGTTGCAGCGTTTTGTGGGCCTTTTGGTAACTCTTTATTGAACAGATTTAACCGGAATTCATCATGCAATATTTATGAAACAAAGAAGCTACACGTACAAAATTACGTACAAAAAYAACATTATTTTTATATTTTTTGCACAAMATCAGTCTTACCAAATCGGCTCTGAGAGGCTAAGATAATATTAGTGATGAAGAACAMAAAGCATCGGCAAAATTTTATACCGAGGCGAGTGCCTCGGTTGGCCTCTTACTAGCTACGGCCACTAATATTCTTGACATTCTAATAGTACTATTTTATTATACAGGAATTAATAAAGTAGGATGAAATGTAAGCAAATACTAACAGTTTCAGTTTCAGTATTATCAAACTTATCATAATACTTCAGTCAACAGCGCTTTCGCTTGCTGTTTCAACGCAACCCAACCTGCACGATTCTTTTACTAGTACTTCTTATTACAATTCTTTGAGCATACAACTTAGCGAAAGCGTTCTTAGATAACTTTTCAAGGGCGGATCCAGCTGAAATTTTAAGGGGGGGGCTAAATGGTTTTAGGGGTCTAAATGGGCTTTATTTGTTATAAACAACATTGAAAATAATAAAAATCAATTTACGTTTTCTGATCAGAGGAGGGCTACAGCCCCCATTTGCCCCTCCCTGGATCCGCCCTTGCTTTTATAGTCAAATCATTATAGTTGATCATTAACACACAATAGCTTCACAGATATTATACTTTACAACACCAATAATTTATTCAAACTTACAGAAACTTACACCTTCGCGATCAGTGATCTATTGTTACTAAGAACAATACAGAGGCTTTGTTTCTTCTTCATAAAACGTCGCAAAAGCGCGCAAACATTTACTTAACGCTTAAAACATACATTTTGCTCAACGATTCATTTTGACCCGTAGCCGGTGTAGCCGACAACGGGTCATAGTGTATTCTTCGTTCTATAAAAGACACAGGAAGACCGGTCACTTCAATTTGACCCGTAGCCGGTGTAGCCATCTAGCCGGCTACGGGTCATAGTGTATTCTTCGTTCTATAAAAGACACAGGAAGACCGGTCACTTCAATTTGACCCGTAGCTGGTGTAGCCATGTAGCCGGCTTCGGGTCATAGTCTATATACTTCGTTTTATAAAATTTTTGATATATAACACGCGCTCTGATTGGCTGACGACCGTGTTTATATCAGAGGACGGAGACACGGCTTACCGGCAAAATTTTCTTTTCGCTCGAAAAATTTTATAACGAAATATAAGATACACAGGAAGACTTCGTTCTATAAGAATACAGGAAGTCCAATGTATTTATTTGCTTTTTTTGCGGGGTATTCGATAGTTCTGAACTTTTAKCGCATAACCCACCCATACATTTTTGCTTTTAAAAAGGTGTCAATACCGTTCCTAAAACCTTCTTTTTTGTCAATTTGATGCTCTAAAGCGGTAAAAACAAAACTATCCTAATTTGCATAATTTGCGACGCAAATCCAGTCGATTCCTBCAGAGTCTTTCCGGCGTCAGCATACCGCTGACATTAGCCGTGAAGACTAATATCGCATTCCCCCCTAAGAGTCTCTCACGCATTGACGTCCGCTGGATGGCAAAATTGCGGGCTTTGGGTACGAGATTGACTCTGGGCTCGAGGCCGTTGTTTCAGAGATGGAAAACAACGAAGAATGCGCACGCTTTTCTTAATTTACGGAATTTACGGTAGTACTYAACCTCGTTCCCAGGGCTACTCTGCTCGCTTTTTTCAAAATGGCCGCAGAGTAGCCGCAGAGTAGCCCTGGGAACGAGGTTGCGTAAAGGTTGCGTATTGGTTGCGTACTGGTTGCGGCGCGCGCTCAAAATACGGGTTACCTGTGGTATGACGTCAGTGATCCCTTGCCTCGCGGGATCAAAAACTAGGTAGTCTGTGACAAGGTATGAAACACTGGTCACGTGATGGATCGATGTGTGCACCAGGTACAGTGTCTATCCCTCCCTCAGAGGAGATATCAGTAGTATCCCTTTATGCTTAGTGCGCGTGGTTTGTTTACAAGATGGCTGCTATTTCCGGTGATATGCCTGGTAGTAAGTTTCCGGTCCAGAAAGATGTCTTTTTTTGCATTTTAACAAGGGAAGTTCTTCTTCTTCGTTCTTTTCCATGTCTGAAACAATAGTTGGGCGGCCTATGGATTGGCGGCGCGGGTACAGAGTCTCACTTCAGCTGGATTGCATAACTGCGGGCTCGAATTATGAGAATGACGTTGAGTAACCAGGCGCTCTCGGCCATGATGCAGTTCATTGTTAGACCGATTCTAAGTTCGATAATTTTAGTATTTTAGTGAAGTTTTGCCTAGTTTTTAGCTGATTGTATATGTTGACCAAGAAACATGGCCGAAGTGTTCCCCCTCGATATCAACGATACTGTGCCCGAAGAAACTTTATCAAGTGAAGATGATATTTTTGAGGTAGGACTTGGGTTTTAGTCACCGGCATTTTCCTGCTGAAGAATCCATTTTATTAACGTCATTAAGCTAACATCAGAGTGATCTTTGTTTACGAAATAACCATTAATGTTCACTTATAGGGTGAATGCATTGACGAGCCGATGGACAACGATGATGGGTAACAATCAGCTCAACGCTCACTTTTTAAGCTCTTATGATAAACTTCTACGAGTGATCATGAACCTGCATTCATTTTGTATCTCTCATTTCAGAATGTATGGGAGCGACACTGAGACTTTGACGATATCAGAGGAAATGGTAAACCCTAAAGATGAAAAGGTTGGGCCAGAGAGTTTTCAGCTTTTGAAAGTCCTGGGAAAAGGTGGATATGGAAAGGTATTTTGGGAATCATACCCGGGAATCATACATTGAAACGATGATAAAAACGTTGCTTTTAACCTTAAATATTGTTCATGAAATAGAAAGCAGCAAATCGAACAAGTGTACAGTTAGACAAGGCATAATGAGGGAGTACTGTTTCTGTCATGTTGATGCCAATTAAAGGCCCGGTATCACCCTCTATGCTTTGCATGACTTGTCACAATTTAGTGTTTCACAAAATAATTTTATGATTAAGAAATATAAAATGCATCTCTGTTCTCTGATATAAACACAGTGGGAATTAAAAAACATGAGAGAAGCAAGCTTTCCTTGCTTCTTGAGTGCTTTTCAACTTACACCTTGTTTATATCAAAAGACAAAGACACAAGCAGGCGAAAAACAAATTTTGCTGGAAAGCCGTGTCTGTGGCCTCTGATATAAACATGGTCGTTTATAATAGCTTTTATAAATTTGCTGAGACTTTAATGAAGTAGGAAACAAAAATTAGTTGATACTCTAAATTACCTCGTGACAACTCAAGCTCCAATAAATAAATAATAAAAAATCAATGAATAAAATAAACAGTTTTTATATGTTTTAGATAGAGAATCATAAAACAATGAATATTATTTTGCAATACAATGATTGGCCTGCGTAATCACGCATTTCTAGTTCATCCACGAACAATCTCTTCTCATCAGTGCGATGGAATAGTGATTGACAGGTGGTATAACATTTTTGCTATAAAGAGAAAATCTTTTAGAAAGTTAATGCAATCACATCGTTTTTGACAAATATGTTTTTCATTTATTATGCAGATTGTTGCACATTTTAAAACTAAGAAAATCATTGGTGTTCTGAAAGAACTATACTTCTTCCCAAATTTATCATTAATAGACTAAATCGGCAACAACACATGGCTATAAACATTTCTGCCCAATTCAAACCACCTGGGAGTATGTTTCATTGTTCAATGTATTTTCATTTCACATTTGAATTCTTAGAAAACAAACATTCTTTTTCCCACAGAATTTGAATTACGTAATAACAGTAAACAGTAAAGTTATATTGTGGACTAAGTATGTGATAAAACTAAAGTAATTTCAGCTACTAAACAGACAAATACCACTGAAAAGTAGTCTTTTAGGCTTAAAAAAATCCCTAGTAGTTTGTAGTGAAGATCAATTCCATGTGTTTACAACAGCAGTGAATGCATATCTAATGGGGAAATACTTCAAAAATTTACATGTATTAATGCTTTAAGCACGCGTTCATTTTTCGGGTTTCTCTGGCCCAAACTCTATCAGATTTGCKAGCTCTCAGGCTATCAGTTGACCATCATGCAGGATAGAATCAAATTTTTAAGCTTACCCCTGACACTATTTGTCGTCAAATATTTCAAAATTTTGAAATTAGGCTGAGTGAATTAAAAGAAGTTTATCTACAACTTAGCAAAAAATTTATGCTGATGTATTTTCTTCTACACTAGTTATAAACAAAAATACGTTTCGAAGTCTCTTGAGAGGTGTTTTACTGCTGACGTTGGATGTCATCAGTCTTCACGACTGAATAGTCACGTTATCAAAGCAAGATGGGATATTTTGTCACATGACATCACAAACTTCACATCAAGCGATATAAAGGGCTAACCAATAGTTATTCCACTGTATATTTGAAAATTTCCTTTCCCAAGGCCATTGTGAGAAAACTGAATATTACTTTTCCCTGCACAGTCTGTGAACAAGGTCAAACAACAAGGTCACAGATTAATTTCCTTTAAATTTTGCATGCCGATTCAGACATTACTCTAGTTAAGTGTGTCTGCGTTTTGTCGAGATATAAGCAGTTTTGTAAGGGATGCACTAAAACAGGGACTAGTCTAACTTTAAAGTCGAATAAAAAAAATAACAAAGCGTTGGCCAAATGCAGACACACTTTTGCAGAACAATGCTTTGGTAACAGGATCCAAAAAAGTTTATCTTTCTACGTCAAATTTACTGCCAACTAATCTCTCACGCGGAGACACTGTGTTCTCGTCAAGTCCTTGACATCTTTTAATAAAATCAATTTTATCAAAAAATTTTATCTTTCAGAAATGTATAATTTTTGCAGGTTTCCTATTAAATCGCACGAGATATGATTTTTTTAAAAACACCTCCCGGTAGTGTCAGGGGTAACCTTAAGTATATTTTTTGAGTTTATTCCTTAACTATCTATAATTGTTCTCAAGGTAAAAATACGAGCTATTGTTATGATTTGGAATATATCTTATTTGTGATTTATATGCACGATATCATGATTCCGTAATTTAAGTTCGAAGCGCTCCACTTGAAACACTCTAGAGTCTCGAGTAAAGAGTGAAAGCGAGTGGCATTGTTTTCGCTGCCTGATTAACTGTCATTGTTTCATTCTATACTCGAACCTCGCGTTCCGTATCGAGTTCGAGTACTCGAAAGCGGATGGTACTTTACTTGAGACCGGTACTGTAGTTACACATTTTAATAGGTGTTCATTTATAATTAGTAATTTATRAATTAGAATTTACCTGAACAAATAATACTAAATGTAACAAACATGACATTAAATAAATAAGAGAATATTACAATAAGTCAAATATTATATTTTGGYTTGAGTTTTATAGTTATGATACTTGAAATTTTGTGTAATTTTAAGCTATGTTCAAATCAATGCAAAAGTGCCCAAATTCAAAAAAGCATTGCACATATCAAAGACGCTTTTTTGCACGTCAGAGCGAAGAGGATGGTTTTGCTAAAAATTGAAAATTACAAATAGATGAAAATAAATATGCATATATATGCTTTTAAATATGTACTCATATGCTCTATAAGGGGGGAATTATCAAATAAACAATAGTTGACTTTGGAAATTTTGGTTCAGTTACCATGCACAGAAGAATTGCAGACGACCCTCTGGGGTAACAACGCTGGACAATCTTGATTTATTTTGTTATTTCCCCAGCGCCTCATCTGCAATTCTTTTGTGCATGGTAACAGAACCAAAATATCTAAAATCAGCTATTGAGTTTTTTATTTCTCCCCAAAATTCTTTGCAAGTTTGGAAAGATGATCAAATACTACATGTATTTTGGAGTATTAAGCTTGTCATAATCAGCATTTGCCAGGGTCTTCACTGTAGCCATTTTGAAAATAGCTACAGAGACGGCCCTGGGGACAAGGTTGGTAACCAATTATTTCTGGATATATTGGTTTGGTGATTTGATGAATGTCAGGTCCACATGAATAACATATGAGTACTCACATGTACCGTATTTACCCATGTATAAGCTGCTCTCGTAGATAAGCCATTACCCTAGTTTTGGAAACATTCTTGAGGGGAAAAAAGATGCAAAATAAACTTTGTGATCGCAGATGGTATCTGTATAATATAAGGAACAATTTGGTAGGCTTATTTCTTGAGTATTCAAAATATTTACCCTGAATTCTTCACTTTAAGTGTGACAATATCACTTTTTTTTTTATGTTCCAATACGGCCGCCCCTCAACAGAGGATTATTGGACGGGAGGTCAGGAAATTACATGTACTCTGTGATCTTTCTTTTAAAAACTTCAATGTTGGAGGCTGGCGAAAAAGCATTTTCAGGCAGTGAGCTCCAAAATTTAACAGTTCTTGGAAAAAAGGATAAGTTTTCATAGTTTTAAGTGTATGGGCTTTTGTATGACGACTAACTCGGTCCGGCCTTGCTAGGAGCTCTTTAGCATTTACTGCAACATGGTTGTTGATGATTTTGTACAGCAGGGTGACACGTGAGAGTTCTTTCCTTCTCAAGAGTGTCCCATTTGAGTGTAGCTAGTATCTCAGAAACACTGTCTTGAGGGTGGTATCGAGAGAGGACCCACCAGGCTGCACGTCTTTGGACCATCTCCACCTTATAGGCGCCATTGTTTTCGATTCCCTTGCGCGGATCCCATATGCTTGAGTAGTACTCCATTTTGGGCCTCAGGATAGCTTTGTATGCTTTTTGTATGCGGTGAACGGACCTTGAGGTTTCTTTTCACRAATCCGAGAGTCCTGTTTCCTTTTGCTGTTATGTTGTCGATTTGCACATTCCACTTGAGATCTTTTGTCATATGAACACCCAGGTACTTAGAGCTAGTGACTGTCTTTAGAGCTGTACCGTGGAGGATGTACTGATGTTTTATGTCATTTCTTTTCCGACTAACCCTCAGAACTTCAACGTTATTGGGTTAAAGTTCATGTGCCAGTCTATTTCACATAAAGATCCTCTTGAAGATCCAGTGAGTCACTCTTGGAGTTGATGGTAAGCAGCATAGCCGTATCATCTGCAAACAGGTGGACAGTTGACAAAGAAACATATTCTGGCAGGTCGTTTATGTAGATAAGGAATAGGGCTGGTGCAATCGCAGACCCTGGAACGCTGGAGAGAACTGGCATGTAGGATGACTGAGGACCATCCACTCCACAACCACACACTGTTGTCTGTCCTTTAAGAACGCCTGTATCCACATTTGGGTATTTCCTCTWATTCCGTAGTACTCAAGTTTAGATAGTAGTTTTTTATGCGGGACCTTATCAAAGGCCTTTGAGAAGTCTAACACAACAAGATCATGCAGTTTGCTTTCGGGCAGCAAGATTTGAGTGTAAGGTGGTTGTTAGCTCAAGAAGTTGGGTTTCACAGGATCTGCCTGGTCTAAATCCATGCTGGAGCCTGTATAGGATGTTATATGCATTTGTGTGGGACATGAGACTGCTGGTAATTATGTGCTCCATAAGCTTGCTGCATATACAAGTTAAAGATATGGGGTGATAGTTTATGGCAAGGTCCTTGTCACCTTTCTTGAATACTGGCATGATTTTGGCCAGCTTCCAGTCCTCAGGGACTTGGTGAGATTTTAGAGACTTGGTGTAGATAATCTTGAGTATGGGTGCAATTTGCAATGCCAGCTGTTCTAAAACTATGGGTTTAAGTTGGTCGGGCCCGGCAGCTTTGTGTGGATTTGAATTTTCCAATAACATCACTATACCCTGTTCAGTGATAGAGATTTCTGGCATTGATGGGAATGGGCTACAGGTGTCAGACGGTATAGTTGTGTCTGTATCCGTGTTGGTAAAGGCATCATAAAAAGTGAAGTTTAATAAGGAGGCTTTTTCGGTGGCATCAGTGACCAACACCCCATGGTTTTTTAAAGATGGTATACTTGAAGAGTCAGATCTTGCATGTTTGAATAATGAACAGAAACGTTTGTTTGATCCGTATGCTGCCTCGGCTGTGTCATCGCTCGGGGTAATCACTTCCTCTACATACTTCCAGTAAGCTGCCCTTAGCGTTCTCTGAACCGTGTGTTTGATTACTTTGTACCTTTGGTCTCCTTTCCGATGTAGCTTATCACGTTTTCTCATAAGCCGCCTTAGCATACAGTCTACATAGGGGAGCTTGTTTCTGCTCCTGGACATTTTGAATGGAATGAATTTGTCGACAGCTGGTTGGAGCTTGTTTTTGAATCGCATCCATAATTCATTTACGGTGAGGGTAGGATCTTCGGAGGACTGCTGGAGGAGGGCAGTAGCTTCAACAGTCATGTGACTTTTCAAGCCGTCCCAGTCAGCTTTCTTATACAAGAATATCTTTCGATGCTGTTGTTTATGGAGAATGGGATTTATATAACCCTCTACATAGAACATAGACTATATCATGGTCACTTATTCCAGGAATTACGTACATTGATTTTCTCTATCAGGGTGGGGTTATTTGTAGCAAACAGGTCTAGGGTGTTGTCTCCTCTAGTTGGCTCTTTGACAATCTGCTCTTTGACAATCTGTATGTAATTGTATGTTACACATAAGTATACACTCATGTGTACTCATATCTGTTCAACTGTGGGTAGTTTTAATATATAATTAATTGATTCCAAGTTGATATGTTAATTGACTTCAATTATGGTTGGTGGTTACTGCTCCCCTTCGTAGGGAGCCACTGTAAAAAAATCATATCTTGGCTTCATTGAATAATATCTAAACATATTTTACATCGTTTTAAAGAAAACACAATAATCTAACTATCTATGACATTGGTTTGTAATAATATTCAATGAGTAATTAATTACATATTAATAATCAAAAATCAAGTCCAAATCTTTAAAAAGTTTAATTGAAAAAAGTATTTATTTTTTCAACAAAATTTGTAGAGTATATTGGTCACTATATTGAACTTAAAAACCGTGTGAGCGTTTTACAATATTTTTTTTATTTGCGGAGTTATTGCTATTTGAATGTAATGGTACAAATTCTTCGTGTGAAATTTGATATTTGACCCATAACTTCAAAACGAAAATCTAAATCTAAAAAACGATCACACGTTTTTTTACCCTACTATGGCACAAACAATATCCATTGAAAAAAGCGAGGTTTAATGCAAACTTTTCGCGAAATAGATTCTCAAAGCCAAAATCGTGACTTAAACTTTATAATTTTTAATAAGTAATCTATTAACGATTTTGCTACAAATTCATAGATTTATTCTTCAGTCACAGCTTTAATATAATATATACATGTAATGTGCTATAGTTCTCATCATATGAGACACTAATTTTTTAAACTTTATCATTTGAAAACTCGAGCGAAGGGGAGCAGCAAAGGTTGTGGACATAGTGCTTTGATCAAAATTATTCTTAATATTATTTGCAAACTGGAATTTTATTTAATGTTTATTATATTTATTGTCAACATCACTACATCAATTGGTGATACACTCAATGATTAACAATGGTTCATCATGAATTTTCTTTCAACTAGGTTTTCCAAGTCAAAAAGTGCTCAGGACACAATATTGATAAAATATTTGCCATGAAAGTGCTGAAAAAGGTAGGAGTTAATTGTTTTGTAGATTTATAAAGGTACCTCTTTTGAAGTAAGTGCAAATGGAGAAAGAAATAGCACTTCATGATATTCATCTTTTTATTCTGCTTCTTTCACCTTTTCCTAACTGCTAATCTACAAAATTAAATGTCTCTGATCACTGATCTTCACACTTATGTGCATCCATTCACATCTTCCCACTTTCTCCATCTYCTCACGTTTTGCATTCTTCACTTACAAAGGACAACTTTTTAAAGAAATGAACATTGAAGAACTAGAACACCAAACTCCCATACATTAGGATAATTAAGGATAAGAACCCTAATTAGTTTTCCATTTTTGAATTTTTTTACATTTTTGTCAAATATATTTCAAGCAATTGTTTGGAGATAAAACAAATATGAAGTACATGTATTGTTGAGACTTGAGATCGTTGTGTTTTAAACAGCTTCAAAAATTCCAAGACTAATTTGAAGCTCAAATCCCTTTAAATTCTTGGAGAAATTGACATAAAAATATGCTTTGATATTCTATATCAGGTATAGATATTAATTAGGTCTAATAATTATTATTATTATCATTCATTTGCCCTGACCATTCTCTAATCCTCAATCAACAGGGGTACACATGGGAGCAAAATAACAATTAATGATGATTGGAGGTTCAGCATTTGAATTATTAATTATGTATATGCTTTCAGGCAGCTATTATAAGGAGCCAGAAGGACACAGCCCATACTAAGGCTGAGCGAAACATACTTGAAGAAGTGAAGGTAAAAATAACTTTTATCCAAACTGTGAACAAACTACAGTTGTAGACACTACAAATGTATGAAACTTGTATTGACGTGTAGTACAGAGAGTTCTTAAATGGACCGGTCATAATTTATATTACACATATGAATTCAAATGGATTTATATATATATTGTTTTAGTAAATACATCTTTAGTGGTACTAAAAGAT